AAAAAAAAAAAAAAGCAAGACACCACAATCATCAGCTAAATAGATCCCACCCACAGCTAACTTACCAAAGATATACAAGTTTTAGATCGCAAAAATCTCGTAACAATAGCTAATTACGAATTCAAGACATTTCACAGTAGGCTCGTGAGAAAATGGATCATAACAACTATACAATAAAAGTAAAAAAAGAAAAAAAAAAATGGAAGTTTTATCAACCGAAAATAGAGGATGACCTTATCAGAATCATCATGAAAGCATAAACAAGTTGACAATCATCAAGCAAACACGTAACAATTAAAACAAACTCGGACAAATGAATCACGGCGTTGGCCAACAATGCCGAAAGAAGATCCAAAACGGTAAAAACCCACTCTTTATGCAAACTACACAGATAACAAAGCTCAAAGCACAAATTAATCACTAAAAGCTGTTCCAAAATACACTTCATTTGGGAAATGTACTAGCATCTGATGGATCACCAAACATCAATAAAAGCTCCAAACCTTATTCTTCCTTGAATTCGTATCACCAATTCCACCACATCGACAAAAATGGATACATTTAATATCGTTACCATTTTAGAAGTTTTACGGGTAAAAGAAAAAACTACAATAAAAGTATTTTCCCAACAATTAATTAGTTTCTCTATATGATACTCAACTGATCAATAACCAATAGTCCCCACAACCCGAACCATTAACATAACAAAGCAAGGTTTAACAGACTTCCCCATCTGATAAAAACTGAAATCGGATCAAATTGAACTTATCAAGCAGACATAGTAAAACTTATGTACAAAACATATCAGGCTACTAACTCTTGTCTAACTCGAGAAAACCTCGTTGAAGCTCAATTCCATTAATCGCTAAACAAATTCGAACAAGCTTGATGAGCAACATAACTGATTCAACTCGTTTATAACCCTATTTCTGACATCTCCTATAGCCGCATAAATTTTGTGCCCTTCAGAAAAAAAAAATACCAAAATCTCCGCAACCAAAAGGTAGAAAACGCATCCCAGCTGCAAAACCAAACTGTTGCCCAACAAAACCAACAAACATAACCAAAACCAGTAAATTTTATACACAAAAAAAAAAAA